AGGTGTTTTTTTTTTAATCCCCCCCCTTAAAAGAACCCCCCCCCCCCCCCGATGCATAATCGTATAATAAAATAGAAAAGTGCAATTGCTGCCTTAAATGTCAAAATGGTGCTAAAGGCATGCAGGTATTTGAATTTCTGTCCACTTTGAATTACTAATAAATAAAACCGAGTTGACCCTCTGAAACTCGTAAAATTAAGTATAAATGGCAGAAATTATTGTGACAAATTAAATGGGTGGAAACAGATGTTATAATTCTGACACCATTTAAACAATGCAGATCATAAAATGTATCAGTCACATACACAAAGAGGTTAATAAAACGTAGTATCATTATTATTATTGTTAGGTGATAATATGCTTTTTGATTTTTCTTCACAGTTACTGTGTATTTATATAGCTAAGCACAGAATCGCAATAAATTATTAGGCTACTTAAGTAATTATTTCGTGAAGCTCCACATAGCCTACCATGCACGCTATTGTTGTTTTAACATTGTAATTAATTACTGTGACGAGCTCCTATATCACTCGGACACTCTTCTGTAAAGTGTTACCGATTTAGCAAAAAGATTTGATAAGCAAGTTAATAGGTTTCTATTGCTATTTGTCCATGTGCACTAGGTATGGTTTCAGAACCGGCGGTCCAAAGAGCGGCGCATGAAACAGCTGAGCGCGCTCGGCGCGAGGAGACACGCGTTCTTCCGGAGTCCGAGAAGAATGCGAACGCTCGTGGACAGACTCGAGCCTGGAGAATTAATTCCAACCGGCCCGTTTTCATATTATGGAGGTAAGACATAATGGCGTATTGTAGACTTATCTATCTCAAACATTTGTCTGAAATATGTGTTTCTTTCTCGCGCTGGTTTCATTCGTTACGCATCAGTAGTGAAAATGGTTGAGTTACGCGACAAATACAAGGTCAAGAGGTTTTTTATTCGTCTGTTTGTGTTTTAAATAGTTAAATGGTCTGCAAATACATTTTTGTTTTGTAATTAGGGGCTTCTGAACGTGGGAAATTAAACTAGCTACTGGCTAAATTTTCATGTTATCCATGTGTTTGATGCTTAAATGTTTTTATATCGTCAAACGATTGATATTTGTTGTTTTGCTCCTTAAAGAACTTTTGACAGCTGCTTTGCCGTTTCGTCGATTTACTTTATTTTTTAACCCACAATTCCATGCATATTCCGGCATTGTACATGTGACGATATTGTATGTGTTTTATTCAGTCTAGTTTAGTTTTATTTCACTTTATATTTGACCTAGTTTTATGTTTATATATATATATATATATATATATATATATATATATATATATATCTATATATATATATATATGGGGCTAGTTGTCACACGGTGACTGTATCTTGAATCAAAAGTTGTATTACATTTGTATTTTTGACATCAGTGGATACAAATGTTGATTTTAAAAACTAGCCTCTTAAATTAGTACAAAATTCCTTTTTTTGAGTTTTGTTAATCCAACTAAAATCCCAATATTACAAAAAAAGTGTAAAAACGTGGCAATAATAAAAACCACAGTATGAAACTGTCAAAAATCAACATTAAGTACAAACCCCATTTTCCCTATATTTTCATAATCTGCTAGGTTATTGTCCATATACATGAAACACGTCAGTTATTGATATATATATATATATATATATATATATATATATATACACTATCATATCAATAACAGCTTTGTTTTATAAGTTTTCAGCTGTTCAAAGCCTTCCTCGCTGTAATTAGCAAAGCTTTGTTCTCCCCACCCAGCTACATTTGTGATTTCGGTGTAACATGTTCTGTGACTAATGTGGCATATTGAGATTTGTTTCAAAGCACGACAGACTACATATTCGATGCATTTTTAAACAAGGAGTTTTCTCCTGCTCTTTATTTCTATACCTACACCACAATTCTTGTATCCTTTGTGTATCTGCAGATTATCAAAGCGAGTACTACGGTCCGGGAGGGAATTACGACTTCTTTCCCCAAGGCCCCCCATCTTCGCAGGCCCAGACTCCTGTAGATCTCCCTTTTGTTCCATCGTCAGGACCCACCGGTACCCCGCTAGGGGGCATGGACCATCCTATCCCAGGCCACCATCCGTCCAGTGAAGTACAGCGCTTTTCAGACATCATGTCTCATCACCCAGGAGACTCACCCAGTCCAGAGCCAGGGATACCTGGACCCCTGCACAGTATGTCCTCAGATGTTTTTGGACCCAGCCCGTCCTTTACATCCCTCTCCCTCAACGGCAGCGGATACAGCAACCACCTCTCCCACCCTTCATCAGAAATGAATGAGGGCACGGTCTGGTAGCTTCTGTGAACGGACATTTCGGCAGAGAAAAATTACGATAAACACAGGAAGGAGGGAGGGTGGGAACAGGGACACTGGCTGCACATTCTGGTTCTCGTTTTTGTCTTTTCTCCCCCGTTTTTCCATGTCATAAATGTGGTGGGACAGCTCACAGAGAGAGCAGCAGAGGGCAGCATGGGTATTGACATTTACCTTCTTGAACTTGTTGTGTTGATGTTCCGTTTCCTTCTTTCTTTCTTTATCCTAAGTCCGAACTCAAGAAGAGAATTGATACTGTTGACCTGGGCGCTGTATGAACTCAGCTATGAGGCCCAGCGTAGCAGCGACCCTCCAGAAGCTCAACGTTTGTACCACCGGTTATACCGCCGCTCTAAAAACAGCGATTGCGACACATTAACAGCGTCAGCTACCGTCAAAGACTTGTCAGCTTTACAGAGAAACACCCAAGGCGGCTGATCTAACGCTAACCTGCAATGTTGACTCCAGGAAAGATCTAAGCCGTCAGACTAATTTATTTATTTGAAAACTCCTCAGACCTCCTTGCCTTTCAAGGCTCTGCCATACTGACACTTAAACAACCTTTTCGACACTAAATATGTTTCTGAAGGCCAGGGTGAAAAAGCTTTTTTTTCTCGTTCTGGACATATCCTGTTTGTTTTTTTCCCAAGAATTCCACCAAATCTGAAGAAGTTAGCCTTCAAAAGGCAAAGTGTTAAAATGTGTATGGATGGTGAACCCTTTATTTAATGGAAGAGAACTTGAAATGTTGATAAATGAAGTCTACCTTCTCAAATTATTTTAACAAGGGTCTGAAAGGGACATAGAACAGTCAACTGTTTACGTAATATATTTAATTCAGGAGTTAAAAGTATCAACCATGATTTAGAACCTCTTGATCCAGAAAAAATGTTCCAAGCAACCAACCAAACTTTTGTATTGATTTTATTTATATTGTATGAAGAAAACAAGTTTGCTGGGGTTGTGGTTCACTGTGCTAGTTTGTACAAAATGTTGTTTACAAAAAAACCTGGAAAAAAGAAAAAAAAATCAAGTAGACAGTTGCCAAATAAAAACATAGCACAAATACTGTAAAAGTGCTTTGCACCATTATCTGCAGAACGTGTTGAAACAAAGTGTAAGTGTTTAAAAAACAATGAGAAGTATTGACTTCTTAATTTTTTTAGTCTGCTGAAAAAAACATTCATAAATTGTTAATATAACATACTTAGACCTACAAGTTTTATTTTTGTGTCTTTAAAGGAAAATCCAAACTATTGAAATTGATGGTCAAATGTGCAGCAAGCAGCTGCTACTTTCTTTAAATATCAAATTCTCATGGTATGTCTTTTATTGTTCTAATAAACCTAAGCTTACGTGACCTCCAGTGCATATTAGACCATTCACTGTATAAATACAACATGTTGAACGAATTTGTGAGTTTTTAATAAAATAGAAAATATGAAATTCAGATGATAGGTGCTTTTCCTTGGACTAGCTGAGCATCAAATACAAGCAAGCAAGGGGATTTTCCATGTCTCGAGATGCTTGCTTTAGTATTTAGAGGCTGGTTTCTGAAAATATGGCATCTGAAGAATATTCCTGAGTGTGGCAGTCTAGTTGAGAATAGTACTGTGAGACATTAGCATCTCTCAGGATGAACTTGACATGGTGGAGGACACCACATAACCCTCACAAGGTTGTCTTGCCTGCTATATGTGCAACACTCTTGTGATGTCCTTTCATGATACAGCATTTAATAATATTGACAACGCATCATTTACTCATCGATCAAATCAGCTAAATCAAATGTTTTTATATGATGCCTTGTGATTATGGTTGTACCATTTCCACTTTGAGATATACTGTGAATGGAAATGTATTTGCCATGTCCTTGCTGAAAAGAGTGAGGTTTGCTTTCAGTGCAAACAGGGTTAAAGGGCATGTAGTCACAAGCTGAGAACATTTAAACTGATAATATTCTTTTCTGATGCTTTTATCTGTTAATTTTCATAATCCAAAAAAAACAAAAATATTTAATTCATTCATTCATTCATTTAAAAAATTGTCAAAATTGTGCTGCTTCCTCAAAATACGTTTTGTTGCCTATGTACTTAAGAGCAGTAATATAAATTGTTATAGCACGTATTTGACAGTGACTATATGACTATATAAGTTGACAGTACTTTTGTGTCATACAAGTGTATTCATTATTTATATTTTGTATGCCAGCATCATAAATTAATTTATCACTTTTTATTTTTATTTTATTTTCTATGCTAACAAGTTCTACTGAAGGCCTAATGACAGAGAATCATACCTTTTCAAGAACAATCACTTCACTATACATTAGAAGCACCTCCGAGTCATATCTAAAATGTGAAAAATCTTAAAAGGTGACATTAGACATGCAGAGCAACACCTACATCTGAGACAATAGATATACGGAGAAACAAGTTCAAAAGCGACAAACTCATCGCTGAACTCATCTCATTTCATATCTCAATTCATAGTCGGGGAAAAACAAAAGAGTCAGATGAGATTCAGTGATTTGACTTTTAGTGGGGAGCGTATGTTGGGGGAATCCTTCACAGGTCTGGAGGCAAGGAAGACGGGCATCAAATTGAGCCTGCTATCTGGGGGAAAAGCCTTTATCTCATTGCGGTGTGTGGTTTTAGTGTGAAGGAGCCCAGCGGTGCCCCTGCTGCACCCAGCACATAATCCACTATGAATTAATCATGGTCCTGAGAGTTAAACAGGCCTGCGGGCCCTCCTGAGCCCGGGGCTTAACCACACCGCTGACTCCATGCTCTGTCACCCGGGAGGCCAAAGCTCTTTAAATTCAAATCTCATATTGATTGAACATCGACTATTGGTTCGGCCTGACCTTGTCGACACATTAAATATAAATGTTTAGAGTGTTTTTTTAAATCTTGAGAGCAGGATATGAATACAGACATACATCGCACTAATATCATAATTTTGATGTGATGGTCAGTTGGAGGTGACGGGTTTATGCTGCTTAATATTTCATGCATAGTTTATTAACTGAGGGATTTCTCTCTGTGCTGCTGTTATTGATTCCAAAGCTTATCAACATATACATTGCATATTAAATATGGTCATGTAAAAAGGTTGTTTAAAAAAAATCTATTTCACTCATTCAGTTCTTATTACACTCTAAAAAATGCTGGGTTGTTTCAACCCAACTTTGGGTCAAATATGGACTAACCCAACTGTTGGGTTAAATTTTTACATACAATTTTTAACCCAACAGTTGGGTTAGTCCAGACACATTAAATATAAATGTTTAGAGTGTTTTTTTAAATCTTGAGAGCAGGATATGAATACAGACATACATCGCACTAATATCATAATTTTGATGTGATGGTCAGTTGGAGGTGACAGGTTTATGCTGCTTAATATTTCATGCATAGTTTATTAACTGAGGGATTTCTCTCTGTGCTGCTGTTATTGATTCCAAAGCTTATCAACATATGCATTGCATATTAAATATGGTCATGTAAAAAGGTTGTTTAAAAAAAATCTATTTCACTCATTCAGTTCTTATTACACTCTAAAAAATGCTGGGTTGTTTCAACCCAACTTTGGGTCAAATATGGACTAACCCAACTGTTGGGTTAAATTTTTACATACAATTTTTAACCCAACAGTTGGGTTAGTCCATATTTGACCCAAAGTTGGGTTGAAACAACCCAGCATTTTTTAGAGTGTATCAATCATTATAATGCACATAGCACAAATCTAGTGATATACAATGAGCATTTTAGCTGATTTTCATTCTAGCAAAGACGTATAAAGAAACAACAGAATCAGTGTAGTGTGACCATCCATCTATAGCCAGGATTTTTATCCCTAACAAACAAGGATTTCTCCAACATAAGCTCACTGGGAAGACATACGTGTACCTACATTTTTTTCTCACAAAACTCCAAAAATATACCTATACAGTACATGCAATTCACTGCAGTGTCCACCTGAAATGAACACTAATGGTAGTAAAACATTAACATATTTTATAATATTTAGCCAATATGTCTTTCGGTGAGTACTTCGGTGAGATCTCTTGATTGATTTAAACACTGTGCTTTGCATCAGAAAGATGGACAAATATGTCTAGAGGACATGTGAATATCTGCAAGGAAATAAGGAATTCAGATGTCAGATTTCCAAATATCTGGTCAGGTTAAAAATATGTGCTATTAGTAACAATTTAATATTTCAACATTGGATTCATGAGTTTGCTAGAGTAAAACAAATAAATTATAATTGATGTACATGTCACTTATTCTAGAATCAAACATAAGCATTGATATAAAGTGTAAACCATTCCGTTTTAAAATGTTTATTTTTGCTTATCAGAAAATTAAATGATCAGAATGCAGAATAAATCAGACATCTTTTTTCCCTTTTGCAATATGATTTTTCCATATCAAATGAGTGAGAAAAGATAAACACTAATGAGATTACAAAGATTTTTTATAATTTTAGTGTATTAAAGTGTGGCAAATCATATTTGTTAGGCTGTACTATGCTGGGCCTGTAAGTTATACTGCACAGATAATTAATAATATTTTCTATTTAACCCTAAATCTATTTTCATGAGGAAAATTTGTACATTAATAAGAGGACAGTAAAGCAAACAGCACCATTACTTTCGCAGTGTAATTGGTCAGGCCTCACAATCAAGATCTCATTCAATCTAGTTTAAAAATAAATCAAATTTTGATTTCAGTGACAATCTATTGGGTCTCATATATTTCTTATATTAATTTCGCATTAAATTCAAGGCATTAATGTTTGCCTACAAAACCACCACTGGCTCTGCACACATTTACCTAAATTCATTACTTCAGAGTTATGTGCCCTCTAGAAGCTTGCGTTCTGCAAGTGAACGGCGTATTATTGATCCATCTCAAAGAGGCACAAAATCCCTTTCACTGACGTTTTCATTAACTGTTCCCTCCTGGTGGAATGACCTGCCCAACTCACTCCGAGCAGCTGAGTCCTTACCCATCTTCAAGAAATGACTAAAAACACATCTGTTCCACCTTTATTTGACCCTCTAACTCTAGCACTTTCTATTCTATTTTAATTCTACTTTATCTACATTTATCTTCTTTTTTTATTATTATTATTTATTAATGTTACATTTTTTTTTATTATTTATATTTTTCTATTCAATTTTTTCTATTCTATCTACTTGTTTTTCTTGTGTGTGTGTGTGTGTGTGTTTATGTGTGTGTATAATATATACACCTTGCTACGTGTACTGCGTTAGGCTAACCGAGACTTGTCATTTGCACTTATATATTGTTGCTCTTTTGTTAGTTTTGACTGCTTTTATTGTCTTCATTTGTAAGTCGCTTTGGATAAAAGCGTCTGCTAAATGACTAAATGTAAATATATTTTAAACTCAAATCCTGATGATATGGAGACAGAATCTGCAAACCATACTCAATAATGAGTCACTGGATTGTCCTATTTTTCTATGTGGACTTTTAAAAATGTTTAAACAATATAATGCATCACTCTTCATTTGTGACCGTCCTATTTTTAAAATGTAAGCGTTTAGCTAATTGTTGATCAGCAAATTACTAGTTTGATCAATGTTAATGATTAACTGTTTGATGGCTGATAACAATAACACACCAAATTCCAGATTTATCCACAAGTGCAAAATTAGCGGTCATTTGTAGGATGTGTTTCTAGAAGTTCTTGAAGGGGTCTTTAAAATGGGCAGAAGTCACCCAAAACAAATGTGGCCTTTTCTCTGGAAAACCACCAGCATGAATATTTTTACAAATTTTAAACATTAATTCCAATTAAAGCGGCCTTGTGCGAGTGCAGCCATGCGGCGCTGTTATTCAATTCCATTAAAATGAATGAAGCAGTGGCATGCAACCATGCAGTTAACAGGAGGAATTAAAGCTACAGGCAAGATGACAGATTACAGAGGAAATTGAGTGGTGTACGCTGAATGTGCGCGTCTTTGTTGTTGTATTTTACCTGTGTGTGGTAGGAAATGTGCATGCATGCATTTCAACATCTGTTCATATCCATACAGCCCTATTGTACCTCAAGGGCACTTTACGGCCATTCATAGTAAAGGTTAGAACATATTTATTGACATTTTGTGTAACAATTCTTTATGTAATATTTTATATGTAAACACTAATTAACGCATGGTCAAAATATTTAGATGTAAATCCAAGTGCTTCATTTGTATGGGAAGCACAGGATGTGCCACAATGTACAGATTTAAACGCTTCACCTCGGCTCTGACTGAACTTCCAGTAGACAGAGTAGCCATGCAATTAATTAAAAACAAAAGCTGGAAACAATTAATCAGCTTGGAATC